TGTCCCTTCCTATCCAGGCAGAAGACAGGAGATTTATTGTCTGAATATGTTGACACAAAGATCCGACTGGGAGGGTACAAGGCACAGCTGGAGATTGGGTGAAGCATAATACTGAAAATTGAGGTGTAGGTGAAAAGTCCTCAATCCTAAAGGTGAGAATCCCCCCTTCCTAGGCTCCCAGAATGTAGGGCAGGCTTATGACTCTCAAGAAGTTATTTGGAGGAGAATTATTTATTGAAACTGACCAGCCTAAGAGAAACAACCCTCACATAATCATATTTGGGATAACCCTTTGAAAAAGCCAACTTGACATGTTATTTCCCTACAATAAAGTCCACCACTAGACAAGTTCCCATGCACACAGAACTTAGATAAGGATTACCAACAGTTTAAGAAAAGCTTATAATATGAAAGAGAAAGAATTCAAAATGAATATTTTTAGAAAGGAATTTGAAAGAAATAAGCAAGCAGGAAGTAAAAGAAAACGTTTTAAAAATCTCAACAAAGATGAAATATCTGCAATTATATGAAGCACCTGTATTATATGTGCCCTTAGAAAGAAAACATTATGACAGCCCACCAATTATAAAATGAATCTCAACTTTAGATAAGTTAAAATGTGAACGAAGTACATTCTAGAACTGATGGAAGAGTACACTCAGGAAAAGAAGCTATTGCATCCAGGAAACAAGGTCAGTGTGTTATTTTTTAAAAAGAGAACAAAAAAGAGGTCTTGTAAATTAAAAATATGATATCAAAAATTAAAAATTCAATAGACAGGTTGGAAGATAAAGTTGTGGCAATCACAGAAAATAAAAGAAGTTGGAAGAGTTGAAAAAATGGGGGAACCCAAGGAGAAACACTTCGAGACACATATTAATCAAACTAAGAAAAATTAAATTCAAAGAAAAAATATTAAAAGCAGCAAGGGAAAAGCAAAAAGTGACATACAAGGGAATCCCCATAAGGTTTTCAGCTGATTTTTCAGCAGAAACTCTGCAGGCCAGGAGGGAGTGGCAGGATATATTCAAAGTAATGAAAGGGGGAAACCTACAACCAAGATTACTCTACCCAGCAAGGATCTCATTCAGATTCAATGGAGAAATCAAAAGCTTTACAGACAAGCAAAAGCTAAGAGAATTCAGCGTCACCAAATCAGCTTTACGACAAATGCTAAAGGAACTTCTCTAGGCGGGAAACACAAGAGAAGAAAAAGACCTACAAAAACAAACCCAAAACAATAAAGAAAATGGTAATAGGAACATACATATCGATAATTACCTTAAACGTAAACAGATTATATGCTCCAACCAAAAGACACAGACTGGCCAAACGGATACAAAAACAAGACCTATATATATGCTGCCTGCAAGAGACCCACTTCAGACCTAGGGACACATACAGGCAAAGTGAGGGGATGGAAAAAGATATTCCATGCAAATGGAAATCAAAAGAAAGCTGGAGTAGCAATACTCATATCAGATAAACTAGACTTTAAAATAAAGACTGTCACAGAGACAGGGAAGGACACTACATAATGATCAAGGGATCCATCCAAGAAGACATAACAATTATAAATATTTATGAACGCAACATAGGAGCACCTCAATACATAAGGCAAATGCTAACAGCCATGAAAGAAGAAATTGACAGTAACACAATAATAGTGGGGGATTTTAACACCTCACTTACACCAATGGACAGATCATCCAGACAGAAAATAAATAAGGAAACACAAGCATTAAATGACACATTAGACCAGATAGAGTTAATTGATATTTATAGGACATTCCATCCCAAAGCAGCAGATTACACTTTCTTCTCAAGTGCACACAGAACATTCTCCAGAATAGATCATATCTTGGGTCACAAATGAAGTTTCAGTAAATTTATCCTCCTGTCTCAGCAGGAGAAAATTGAAATCATATCAAGCATCTTTTCTGACCACAACACTGTGAGATTAGAAATCAATTACAGGAAAAAAAAAAACATAAACACATGGAGGCTAAACAATATGCTACTAAATAGCCAAGAGATCACTGAAGAAATCAAAGACGAAATCAAAAATTATATACAAACAAATGACAACGAAAACACGATGACCCAAAACCTATGGGGTGCAGCAAAAGCAGTCCTAAGAGGGAAGATTAGAGCAATTCAATCCTACCTCAAGAAACAAGAAAAATCGCAAATAAACAACCTAACCTTACACCTAAAGCAATTAGAGAAAAAGAACAAACAAAACCCAAAGTTAGCAGAAGGAAACAAATCATCAAAATCAGAGCAGAAAATAATGAAATAGAAACAAAGAAAACAATAGCAAAAATCAATGAAACTAAAAGCTGGTTCTTTTTATTCTTCAATTTGTTAATATGGTGTATCACATTGATTGATTTGCATATACTGAAGAATCCTTGCACCCCTGTCCTTCAAAACTAAGGTGAAATTCAACAAAGAAGGAGATTTGATATCCAAGAAAAAGAGGATCCAGTACAGGAGAGAACTAAAGATTGATACTGAAGAAAGCAATTACTCTAAACTAGAGCAGGAAGACAAAGGGGGGGAAAAAAGAAACATCATTATCCAAAATTTTTGGCTGAGGGAATAAGAATGAAATAGTGAGAATTACATGGAAGCAAGTAAAAAACCAAGGAAATTACTAACTGCAGAAAAAACAAAAAGCTAGGCAGGAAAAGAAATGTAATCATAGAGCACTACATGATTCAGTTGTAAATACATATACATATATATGCATGTCATAATAATAAAAGCTCTATTTTTTTAGCTTCAAATTTTATTTTGTGACTATACCTTTAACTAAAAATTATGTCACAAATTATTGGGAGGATGGGAGGAAAAAGAAGTATTGGTAGAGGAAGAGTGTATAAAGGAGCTAAATCTTTTTCCATTTTACAAAATCACAAAATAATATGAAAATTTTTAATATTCAAAACATCAATATAGATAAGCTATTTTAGAAATATAAAGGGAAACAGCAGAGGCCAATAAAAACGTTAAGGATTATGGCCTCCAAAGAATGGGAGTCAGGAGTGGAGAAGAGCAGAATGGGAGACTTGTGTTTGTCGTAACTCTCAGAGTATTATGAATTCATTTTTAATTCAGTGTGGGTCTTCTTTCATTGTATTCAATCTAGAAAATCATGTATCGTTTTGATTTAAACAACTACAACATCAAGGAAAGAGGGTGAGCTTCACCCAAGGGCAGAGCCAACTGTTAAAGGGCCAGCCAGTGAATGGGTCTCAGAAGTGCCAAACACAATAGGAGAATGGGGCAAAGCCAAGAGTGGGATTTACAGGACTGAGAAGTCAGAGCAGCTGCCAGAGGGGAAAAGAGGTCTCCAACATTGGCTCAGTCTAAACTGAGAAATAGTAGCTGGGACAAAGTTAAGTCTACCTCTTAAAGACCTCATGTGAAAACACTGGTAGTTGTAAAGACTGGACTGACTCCCTAGTTCAGAATGAAGGAATAAATAAATGAATTAGTATCTCTTTCATCTCAGAAATAAAACTAATGGTTTTAGAACATAAGATTAAAAAATATTAGCGCATTCAGGTGTCTCTTCATTTTCTTCCAGGGGAGTGATTTTTCAATGCAGCCCTGCTTGCACAATGTTGTACCCTATCCGTAGGAATAAATAGGGCTTGGGACAGTAACTGGTCAAATGGTATGCTGACTAACTCTGGTCTAGTTCAATGAGTCTTACCTTTTTGTGACACTGGCTCCATTAAAAATCAGATGAAGGGTGCTGGCCCCTCTCTCCAGAAATATACACATGTGCCCTTACGTACAAAATTTTGCACAGAATTGTAAAGAGTTAATGCACCCTAACTCAGGAAACCCTCATCCACTTAAAGAGGTCATGGAAAGTTGGATGAATTTGGAGGGAGCCTCCTACTACAGAACTAAGTGAACCCACTCCACCGTGTTTGATTTCATTTCTCTAGAAACATGGATATTTTCACACATGTGCCACATTTGGTCTACTGCAAGATAAACTGTCCAGACTTGCGTGAATGCCATCAGTGTGTCAGAGCGCTGACACCGAAGTGAATGATGTTTCCAATCTGTGCTGGCACAGGAATGCAGCTCTTGTAGCCTCCCAGAGCTCATGGCCATGGATATTTATATACTTGCTCAAGTATTTTTAGGTGATGAAGATCCCACCCAAGATGGGACCATTACATGGTCCAGGATCAAGTTCACAGCCATGGTCCCTGGGGTGCTCAATAAACAGCATCTGCTGATTTAGGAAATGGTGGTTTACACTTCAGAAGAAAACAGGCAAAGTAGAGCGCTGCAGATGGAGAGGAGACGGAGTCCTAGCTGGACTCTGTCAAGTATGTGAAAGAGTAAAGAGAAACTGATATGTTAAAAGTGTGTGTTTGGGCAGGCAGGGGGCAGGAAAAGGAAGGAAGCGCTCCTGCCTGTGCCGCCTGCCGGGCTCGCTTGTAGGGCCTGAGACACTTAATCTTCGGGTCATGGGTTTGCCCCCATATTGGGCACATTGTTGTTAAAAAGGTCAGACTGATGTAGTGGATAAAGAAAGCCACTGACCAGGAGTCAGGGGATGCAACTAATCTTGGCTTGGCCACCACACAGCGCATTCTAAAACCAAATACCAGTGCTCTAGAATTGGAACAATTTGGTGGCAGAGGCCAAACAGCTCCATCCAGGCACCCTGGAGTGAGAGCCACTGCACATGTGGGCGACCCAATATAAACCACCAGAGAGCGTCCAGTAATGACTCCGGGAACCCGGCAAGTAACATGACTAAAAAGAAGCTGGAGGGCCTCCCTGGTGGCGCAGTGGTTGAGAGTCCGCCTGCCGATGCAGGGGACACGGGTTCGTGCCCCGGTCCGGGAGGATCCTGCATGCCGTGGAGCGGCTGGGCCCGTGAGCCATGGCCGCTGAGCCTGCGCCTCCGGAGCCTGTGCTCCGCAACGGGAGAGGCCACAGCAGTGAGAGGCTTGCGTACCGCAAAAAAAAAAAAGAAGCTGGAGAATCTGGGCATCGCTCTAGAGATCGATGGGCTGGAGAAGAAGCTGTCACGTCGGAGGGACCTGGAGGCTGTGAACTCCAGGCTCTATGGGGCGGAGCTGGGCTCAGAGGCCAGGAGGTCTCTGGAGAAGGAGAAAAGCAGCCTGATGAACAAAGCCTCCGACTATGAGAAGGAGCTGCAGCTGCTTCGGCAGGAGAACCGGAAGAACATGCTGCTGTCGGTGGCCATCTTCCTCCTTCGGACACTCATCGACGGCTACTGGACCCTGTGAGCCTGAGATTTCTCCAGTCAGACAGGCTTCCCCTCAGCGCCGTGGTCACGGCCAAGCAGGCCCGTCAAGCCTCAAGAGGGCCAAGGTACAAGGGCCATTTCTGCCTTACCCAGACATCGCAGCAGGGCTTCCTGTCGGCCCAGCCCCTCTCGCCTCCCATTGCTGCTGTGGGGCTTGAGTCTCCAGAAGGACTTCGTGCTGGCTTAGCCCAAGGGAAAGGCAGTAAAGACCACCCTGGCTGCAAGACAAAACCCCACCAGAGGAGGCTAGACAGACACTTGGCAAGCACTTGTCTGAGCCACGCTGGGAGTCCCACTGATATGTGACGGCCTCTCCAGTGGGGCTTTACTTCTAACTTCAGATTTCTGATGCCGCCCACTAGAAGGTCTTCAGAATCCTCACTGTAAAAAGCCATTACTACCCCCCAGTACCATCTCCCACAGCATAAGTGGATCTGAACTCCTGGCTTTGTGTACCTGATAAGGTCCAAGCACAGGACTGTCACCACCCAGCATTGTTGTACTGACTGCAATATAGTGGTTACACTTGGAAAAGCCACCTCACCTCCCTGGGCCTCAGTTTTCACCACTGTACAGGAAGGGGCTTGGATTTGATGTCTTCTGGTCCAGCAATAACCCCAAATAATAAGCATAATAATAATAGCTTACATTTATCGGCTGCGTCCTACGTGCCAAGCATACAGTAAGGGGGATGCAAGAGTGAACAGAAACAGACATGGTTGCTGCTCTCATGGAACTTACTGTCTGGCAAAGGAGGCCAACGTTAACTTAAAAAAAATCCCACACATAGACATGTGGTTACAACCAGAGAAGCATGCTATGATAGAAAGGAGCGGAGTGTGTGAGATTCGTCTGGAGTGTCAGGAAAAAACATCCTGAGAAAGTGGTATTTGAGTTAACTTCTGAAGGATGAGCAGGGGTGCTGGGGAGAACACTGACATGCAGAAGCCTCATATACATTGGTTACGTTGGTCTGGAATATGAGAAACAAAAGTAAGAGAAATCATGGCTACCATGTATTGAATATTTACTTAGTGCCTGGCATTGTGTTCAATATTAATTATATACAATGCTTGAGTTCTTTCAGTGACCTTGTCAGTTAAAAATTATTTATCCCCATTTTAGAGTCAGTAAACTAAGGCACAGCTTCAGAAACATGCTCAAGACCAAAACAGTAAGACGCAGAGCTAGGTCTGTGAAACCCCACGCCTGCACACTTAACCATCGGGCTATACCATCTCCCAATATAATGGGCCCTATTAAAAGATGATGCATCAGAATAGATAAGGTTTCCACCAGGTTCACTAGTAAAAGGACAAATATACTTTTAAAAATACTATTATAGTACCCATAGGAATGGCGGAGACACTGTCATAGATACATGTGGTAATAACGAGACAATTACAGTACATGCAACACCCAGAGCCCCAATGATAGCCCAGCCCTAAGCAATCCTATTTTCCATCGCATCGCACACGTGTACCCACCCAACTACCCACCAGAGATGAGTGAAACAGGAGTGGACTTCCAACCCAGAGAGCCTAATCTACAGGCTGCCAATAGCCTTTGAGACAACCCAGCATGGAAAGCTCCACCAAGGCAAACTTGTACAGGTTCAACCACAATTATATTCTCCAAGATATGAACTGGGAAATAGAGGAGTTTAAGACTTGGTATAGAGAGACAGCAGAGTTATTCCAGGAGTGCAGAGATTATTAAAGTTAGAAAACTCTAGTAATGAAGGTGGTTCAAAGATACAAATGTCCAATTATAAGATAAATATCAATACATTCCAGGGATGAGATGTACAGCAAGATGACCATAGTCAACAATACTGTATTGTATATTTGAAAGTTACTAAGATAGTAGACTTTTATAGTTCTCATCACCAGAAAAAAAATTTGTTTGTAACTATGTGAGATGATCAATGTTAACCAAACTTATTGTGATGATCATTTCTCAATATATACAAATATCAAATCCTTATGTTGTACTTACACTTATACAATGTTATATGTCAGTTATATCTCAATAAAACTGGGGTTCAGGGGGAAAACCCTGGTAATGCAACTCACCACATTATAACAGAATAAAGAAAAAAATCTGATTATTTCAATAGATGTAGAAAACGCATTTGATAATATTCAAACACCCCAACCTACACAGGTGATAAATTCCACAGAACTGAATACCCACACACATGCACATACACACATAAGTACAAACAAAATTGAGGAAATGTGAGTAAAATTAGTGCATTGTATCAGTGTCAATATCCTGGTTGTGATCTTACATACAGTTTTCCAAAATGTTACCACTGGGGAAAACTAGGCACTATATACGAGGAATGTCTCCATATCGCATCTTAAAACTGCATGTAAATTTGCACTCGTCTCAGTTAAAAAGTCACTTTAAAAAAAGAGAAGGCAAGAGTTGGAGATGAAGGTAGGGAGAAAGAGAGAAGGAGAGAGAGAAGAAGAGAGGGGGGAGAAAGAAAGTAACGTTAATAACAAAATTTGGTAAGTTTAAAATATATAATAATAATTTTATTAAAAAATACCATTGCCATTCCATCCTTCTAATGTTTCAGTATAGCCTTATAAAATATTTTAAGCTCCAAATTTTTGCATCTTGAGAAGATCCCAAGCTTTCCAAAGACGCCAACCACATGCTAATCTGATGACTGTGATACTAGCATACATGACATGGGGTCAAGGATATCATATAGTTTACAATGCCTACAATCAAAAGCTGTGTCCTGACATAGAGAACAGAAATGTGGTTGCCAAGGGGGAAGGGGGTTGGGGAGGGATGGAGTGGGAGTTTGGGGTTAGCAGATGCAAACTAGTATATATAGGATGGATAAACAACAAGGTCCTACTGTAGAGCACAGGGAACTATATTCAATATCCTGTGATAAACCACAAAGGAAAAGAATATGAGAAAGAAAGTATATATATGAATAACTGAATCACTTTGCTGTACAGCAGAAATGAACACAACATTGTAAATCAGCTATACTTCAATTAAGAAAAAACCTGTGTCCAGATCCTTTCCTAATCTACATTATGTGAATCTTTATGTTTTCTGTGCTATTTTTGTTTCAGTTATCCTAATAAAGGGTATCATTTTGCCAGAACAGAACCTCACCAACAAATAAAAACAAATAAAAGAGAACTTCCACATCTAATAAAGACTCTTTCCCCAAAACCCCACAGTAAACATCACACTTAAATGGTGATGTGAACAGATGTGAAATCTGTTACGTGCTGTTCACTTTAAAGTTCAGAACAAGGCAAGGATGCCCACTACCGCTACTTACATTCAATACTGTATTGGGATCCTAGTCAGTATCATTAAAAGTTTTAATTTAATTAATTATACTTAATTTAATAGACAATGTAATTAAGTATCTCTTAATTAAGCATACTTAAAAGAAGAACTGAAAAGAAACAAAATTGTCACTGTTCACAGGCCTTGTGGTTGTTTAGAAAATGCATGGTAAAACTTGAATAGAGTCCACCAACGTTGCTGGATTTGAGATCCAGTAGCGAGGACTGAAGAGCTCACGATGGGTGTCACTAGCAGAAATTCTAAGTAGATGAGACAACCCATTAGTACAAACAAGAGAAGCAGCAAGAATGAGGAGAGAGCTGAGGCTTAGGGTGAAGACCACCGAGTCTCGTTACTCCGCTCCAGCATCTCCCGCTGCCGGAAATCAAGCTCTAGCCTCCGTGAGGCCCCGTATCTCCCTCTTCCACGATACTCACCACAACCACCTGTCTAAACTAACCTGATAAACAGCTGCAGTGGCATTCAAAAGAGCACAGCTAAAACACACGTAACTACGAAAGACAGAATAAGTCATTATGAGGAGCTCCAACTTCTACATTACCATTTTTATTTATGTATAAAATCCGTTTTAATGATCCCACCATCAGAGGGAAGCGATATTGTAATCTACAGCTACAAATAATCTCTAAAGCAGCAGTATTTGATTTGGAATGTATTACGGATCTTTGTAGTAGCTACACCTTCCAGGGAGATTTTGCCTAGACTACCATTAAAATAAGATTTAACATTCTGAACACAGGATAACTAATGACCAAGAAGATGTACCTGATAGTGCAATGCAATGCCAACTTTTGCCCACTAAGTATCATCATGTTGGACGACCTGTACTGAAATACTTGAACTTCAACAACCTTAGGAAAGGGGTTAGACAAAATGACACCATTTCTGAGTTTTTAAACCAGAAAATTAATATGAACCCAGTAAAGTAAAGCAACATACAGTGGCATACGTAAAAGACTTGGATGCTTTCAATATTGACACAGGCCACCTCTGGCAGAACTACTGAAGAGAACTACAATGTCCTTTGTGTCCTTTCGCATTCCTGAGGCAAAAGATTCGGATGATGACAATACTATCATAGGTTTCTGCAAACTTGGGCTCTACTTCTTTAATAATTAAGAACACCCTGTCCAACAGGACAGCCACTGGCCACTTACCGCTACTGAGCACCTGAACTGAATTAAGATACTCTGTAAGGGTAAAATACACACTGGATTTCAAAGACTTCATACAAGAAAAAAATATATACAATCTCAGTCTTAATTTTACATTGATTAAATGTTGAAATGATTTTTTTCTATTTAAGTGAAATCAAATGTATTATTAAAATTAATTTCATCTGTTTTTTTTTAACTTTTTCTAATGTGGCTACTAAAAACTTTTTAATTACATTTGTGGCTCACATTACATATCTAGAAGACAGTGTTAATTTAGAAAGTCAAAAGGTATTTTAAATGATACGTGTATAATATATAAATCGCATTTAAGACATTAATACACGTTTATAAGACCCTTTGTATGTCGTTTAGTAGCAAATTCCTATAAAGACAGGCATGATCTTATGACAATAGTACAAAAGAGGCACCATTCGTTGAGTTCCAACTTCTTGACCAGACAGTGCTAAAGACTTCAGCTAGATTATCTGTAACCCTCCCATCCTCATCTGAATGAGGGAGACTGAGGAATCTGCCCCAGATCACACAGCTAGATGTCCCTCTACTTAATCCTGAGCCTGGCCTGAGCTCCTGACTCCAGTCCACTCTTGGAAGAGGCATGAGTAACAACCTCACTAATGGTGTGCGACACTCTGGAATACTTCAGTAGGGAACAGCCTGCAGCAGAAGGAGGCGACAACACGGCCACAAAAGAGAGAAGCAGACTGGCCACGAAGCTAAGACAGATTGCCAAAAGAAGGAGCCTTCTAAAATCCAAAATACCTTCCTCACCAAGCTCTGGAAAAATCAGGCATGCAAAACTTTGGCAATCCTTCATCCATCTTCTCCCCCAACATGCTCCTAGCAGAATAGGTGATGGAAGTCTCCAGATCTCTGCTCAGCATGACCACAAGTACCCACAGAAAGCAATTTCCCTTCCTTCAGCAGCTGGCAAAGTGTAAGTGAAGCGTGGGGTGATGGGCGCCTGGTGGGGAGGAGGGAGGAGAGCTGGCCAGAAAAAAAAAAAACAAAACACAGGAAGCAACAGTGACATTCAGACGAGAACCTAGGAATGGTTCAGAACAGGACACTTTATCACACCTGATTTAATTTGAAGACTGTTTTCAGGATGCGAAGGTCTAGACTCAAAATCAGTTACTTACGTAATCCTCCTCCCTGAGCCCTTGCTTCTCAACAGAACTTTTCACCTCCATGGAAAACTTCTCAAACTCAGGTTTCACTGTCCTCAGTAGAGTGATTGTTTGGAGGGATGAGTACGCTTGCTTAGCTTCAAAGTCGTGTTTGTCTCCTCTCTTCCATGAGCCATCTCCTAAGGGAGAAGTAAAAACATTTATAATTCCAAGCCAGTCACCATAAAGGGGCCATTCTCCCTTTTCAACTGCGAAGTGTCTCTACATGTTTCGTTTGGTGGCTGGGGCAGGAGGTATTGTCACAGTTTTGCATTTGGATAGAAAGTGACAATGTCAAGATCCTCAAAGGAGAAGACCACGTGTTCCTTTGAAATGTGAGGCAGAAACAAAAGCACTGTTGGGTTAATTGCCTTATGATAACCCTGTAACTAATTTTCAGCCCCCAAGAATTGCAGCACTGCAGGAGTAAGCAATAGGTCTATTCCTTTCCATTCACACTTAGTTTTTAATATTTTTTAATCAACTGTGGAGGTCAACCAAGATGTTACTGTGCTACAGTAAACCCGACACTACGTAGATGTGGAAGGCAGGGATGGCTACATACGACAGCACGAGTATTATAAAGTTGTTGCTAAAAGGAAAAGGTTTGAGGGCTTCCCTGGTGATGCAGTGGTTGAGAGTCCGACTGCCGATGCAGGGGACACGGGTTCGTGCCCCGGTCTGGGAAGATCCCACATGCCGCGGAGCGGCTGGGCCTGTGAGCCATGGCTGCTTAGCCTGCGCATCCGGAGCCTGTGCTCCGCAACGGGAGAGGCCCCAACAGTGAGAGGCCCGCGTACGGCCAAAAAAAAAAAAAAGGTAACAGATTATTGATATTTCTTGAAATGTTTCTCGAATCTCTTCAGAGTGAAAAGTAGCTTAGGTGAACTTGAGGATTTATATCTCTCTAGTGCTGGCAACATCAAAAAGATTATTTATTGGACAAGTCGATCTGTGCATCAATAGTAATAAAATAAAAATTGCTAACATTTATTGAGTGTATATATATATATATATGTATATATATATATTATAATAAAAGCTTAGTTATTGAACACTTTATAAACTCATTTAATCCTCACAAGATCCCGTGACTTTTATCCTCTCTATTTTACAGATGAGGAAACTGAGGCATTCAGAAGCTGGGTACCCCGCTGCTTCACGGCTCTCCCTTTCACAAAAGCAAAGGCAAATTACATAGATAAGAATCATTCCTCTTCTCTTTATTATTTCATTTTTGAGAAAACATGTGGCTTGCAGGACCCCAAAAAGAAACATGGACCTCTAACTTTTGACCATAATAATAATAATTCTGTGAATTATCATTATGATTTCTTGAGATCTCTGCAAATACAACAAGGCATTCAACCAGCTGGAGTCCAAACAAATGGAGTCATTTGTTTGCCCTGAGCCCAGAGTCCAGTGCAGATGCCCAGAGCCCAGCGGCTAAGAGAAGATGCTTCTGGAATGTGCAGCCAGGGCTCCATGGCCCTTGCTCTACTCTTACAGAAAAAGTTCAGTTAGGAGCTGGTGGTTTTGGAATTTCTATCATAGCTTAAATCAGACAAACATGGATTAACTGAACGTGCAAGTTTCTGTGACAGCCAGCACGGTGGGCACCATAAATGTTTTGAACAGTCTCCACCACTTCAAGAGGGGGATTTAGAGATGGGCATGTAAACACCTGAAGTCATTACAGGGTAACGGTTAGCTTACTATGCGGGGCGAGCGGTGGTACATGGAAACCACGCAGAGTACAGAGGAAGAGGTAACCAGCTCCAAAGAGGGAAATTTCATGCCAGGAGGAGGCATCAGCCTGGCCCTAAATGTGTGAATAGGATTTTAATAAGAGGAGAAGGGGATGGAAAAGCATGCTTGGCAGAATCTACGGCACGGGCAGAGGTGCAAATGTGTATGACATCCAGTGGGCAGCTGGGAACCTCTGTCTGGAGCATGAGAAAAGGCAGAGACAAAGAATTTGTTTGTGGAGGCATCTGTTTAATCCTAGTCCTAAAAATAGCAGCCATTTATTAATTGCTTAGTATGTGCCAGGGAGCTGTTAAAAGATAAATAAGACAGAGTCAAGGACAGAATTCATTAAGGGCTCGATCCATTCGCAATGAGCACAAGAGTAAATTTCAAGCCACTGAACAAAACTTGATGAAGTCCTCCTCCTCCACTATGAAACCTCCCAAACCCCAGGGAGGCCACAGCTATGCCGGCGCTTGCTCAGAGGGCAAGTGAGCTGTGTGGCACTGTCATCGGCCAGGGCCAACCCCTCTGGGTGCTCAAGACATGGATAACGTGGCCTTTTGTCAAGGGGCCAAATCCATTTGCCAGCAAGACCCCAAATTCTAAGAATGTCCATCTTCAACCCGTGAAGGAACCCATTTCTTCTAGGTGTGCGATCCACATGTATTGATTCTTTTTTAATTGACTCGAGGTATCAAGAATCAGCAGGAATGGTGTTTCTTAGGCAAAGAGGGTCAGAGTTTCTCGGCTTTGGGGAAGAGAACCCTCCGGGCACAAGAAAGGAAATAACCCTATAGGGTATTATGCTGTGTAATTCACATAGAACTGGAAACAGCAACTATCTTAGTTACTAATATGGAAAAAACTTTTTTTTTTAATCTTGAAAGAAGTGAAATATAGTACAATAAATCTGTCTACCACAATCTAAAAGGTAATGATCTTGGGGTTTCGTTTTCTAGAAAAAAAGAAGGGACTTCCCTGGCGGTCCAGTGGTCAGGGGGCATGGGTTTGAATCCCTGGTCGAGGAACTAAGATCCCACACTACCGTGTGGCACGGCCAAAAAATAAAAACAAACAAAAATTTTAAAAAAGAAAGAAAGAAGAATGGAAACAAAAGTGCTTAGTAAATGTAAGCCAAACTAAATAGGTATCTAGTCACAACCATAACCAATACTATGACTTCCTGCTTTGTGTGTGTTTCTTATTGTACTGTGTCAGTAACCTCTCGGGGCCACTGAACCCTAGGAAAAGCAGAGGTTGGCTTGGCATGATACCCCATCAGTGGGGACAAGTTTAATTCAGCAGACACTGGGTGCCTCTGGAGATTTACAAGCGGAACAGAAGAATGACACGATCAGACTCATGCCTTGGGAAATAGCAATGGATTAGACTGGGGAGACACTGAGCGTTCACAGCCACAGTAATCCAGGCAAGGGGTTACCAGAGGTTATATGTGGGAAGTCACACCCCCCAAAAAATTGAACATGGCTCTCCGGATGGTTAGAATTACAGGCATCTTTTCTTTTCTTTTCTTTTTTTATGTGTTTTTCTGACTTTAGCAAATTTTCAGCAGTATATTTACTGCTTTTATAATCATAAAAAGAGGGAGGGCCCTTGAGAATGAATGCAGAGGGCTGTGCAAGAGGAATCTGAAGACTCTACAAGAGTGAGGGAGTGAACGACAGCCGAGAGGGACGCGCGTCACCAGTGATGCCAGAGAGGAAAAGCAAATGGTTGTCAGAAGAAATAGCAGAGCCAGAGGGAGGAGGAGGGGTTACGTGGACACGGAAATGACAGTGATTTCAGTTAGGGTCACGGTCAATCCAAGGTGACTGACTACAGAGCACCCAAGTGGCAGCACCAGGCTGGGGTTGGAAAGAGGGGTCTGAAGCCAGCAAGAGAAGTGAGGGCTAGAGAGAATGCTGGCTGTCACATCCATATGTCTTATACTTAGTACCCAGAAGCAGAGGGCGGGGGGTGAGCACACACACTTTGGCGACGCTGTTTTTAGTGGGCAAAGGACTAAAAGGAGACAGAAGAGCTAAGAGAAAGCCCCAAGAATGCTGTGCCACCAAAGCTAAGAAAAACAGGGTTTCCGGAAAGAAATAGACGGAAACAATACGGCAAGGACTAGAGCTGTATATAGCTCTACTATAGCAGCCACTAGCTCCATGGGTGACCGCTTACATTTCAATTACTCAAGATTAAATAAAATTAAAATTTCAGTTTCTCACTCGCACTGGCCACATTTTAAATGTGCGATCGTCACATGTGGCCAGTGGCTCCTGTACTGGGCAACACAGAGTAGGACACAGCCAGCATCATAGAAAGTTCCCCTGGACAGCACTGCTTTAGAGGCATGTAGGCACGGTCTGCACTAAGGCTGATGGCTTTGGTGTTGAGAAGGTCAGCGGTGACCTAACACTCTCAGAGGAGTAGTGGGTCTTGTTGTCATACTCTTACAATGGTCCTGAACAAGGGATTAAGAAGAGGAGAAAGAAGTCGGCTAATGAGAAGTAGGGCAGAGAAGGTGATGCTTGCAGTTGCTTCAGGAATAAGGGAAAGTGAATTTGCTTTCTTTGTTTGGTTTGGTTTTAAACATCATAGAGCCCCAAGCTTGCATTTAGAGTGAGAAGGGTACAGAATATTTGTGAAAGAGGAAATAACCTGTTCAGCACCAAGCCCTGTGCTTGGCAATCCTGCGGCCAGGGAGCTGGTGAGAGCCGGCAGTACTGGGATAACTGTGTCATCCTGTAGCTCTCAGTACTTACCAAGGATCCAGCACATAGAAAGCCTTCGGTAAATGTGCGCTGAATGACGGAGCTGAGACATCACAGACTACATCCAAAAAATGATGCCTGGAGTACACCTGGGCTGGCTGCAGAATACATGGCTCTTGCCCTCTGGAAGCCAATTAAGTGAGACAAAAGGATTGGCCACCCTGCCTCACCCCAACCTCTCCAAATACCCAGGAGTTACCTGCTTGCCTTGAGCGAGGCTGGTCCAGATTCTCCCATCAGTGATAACAGCACCACTTACTGAGCGATGCCATTGTGAATGGCTTTGCCTGGAGCATTTCATTTTTTAATCCTAATGAAAACTCTATGAGGAATATTTAAGTATGATCCCCATCTTACAGATAAGGAAACTGAGGCTCAAGGAGATTAACATGCCCGAAGTCACTTGGTTAATAAGTAGAAGCAGGATTCAAACGCAAGCCAGCCTCCAAACTCCAGTGCGGTGCCTGCTCTTCATTCATCTCATCAAAGTTTGGTGTGTTCTAAGATTTAAAACTTCAAATTCAGTGGAGGACAAGAATGTTAAAAATAAAAGTAACAGAGGAAGAAAGATCAGAGGAAGAAGTGTCTAAACGTGGTTTAACAACTCT